GAGAAATAAAGCTCTGAGGACTTGACGCTTAAATCGCGAAACCGAAAAACTGTTTTATTATGATGGATAAGACCAAAAGTTTGATTTTTTCTCCTTTTTCATCTAATTAATATTGATTTTTGTTATCTTCTTCGTCGCTGACCTCATAGCCTCACTATCCGTACACGAGTCTATCGACTGCTCGGCTGAAAGAAAAGAAAAAAGAGGACAAAAACTGGCTATGTACACTAACTTTCGCATAATACCAGGGTCATGTCATAAACAAAGCATCATCCGGCAACATCATCCTGAGGGTCGAACGCTTTGCAGCGCTCCGGAAAGAAAAGAAATTCGGGGTATGGGGTAAAGAATCAGTACGTCCTGGGGGTAAAAGTACAGGTGAGGGTAAGAGAATATGTCGAAAGAACAACGCCGGCCAGATGCGAAACATGGGGTGAAAGATTAAAAACATAATCAGAAGGGAAGAGAGGGGGGAGAAGAACAAAGGCCAGCTTAGGTCTCTGAAGTGGAGGCAATGGCGCCAGGCCCGGGATTAGATCCCATGGTTTGCCCTCCGCTTGGTGGATTGGTCGCCGATGTCTGCTCGGCCTGCAATCGCCGTTGAGCCTGAGCTTGAGCCTGAGCTTGTTGAGCCTGCGCCTGCGCATGGGCTTGAGCTGCCGCCGCTGCTTGGTCTCGGGCTTTGGCTGCCATGATGGCCCGATGCTGCATGATCTGGATATCGTACTGGTCTCCTTCAAATTCGAGATCATCGTCCGAGTCCTCCTGATCATACTTGAACCGATCGGCCTTCCATGGGTCCACTTCGACTCTACAACGGGACACCAGATTTCGACGATCGATCCACAAACGACCGCCGCGCCCGATACGTCGTCTGAACGAGGGCATCTTGCTGGTGTCCACACTCAATTCCATGGCATGTGGAGCTAATTTATCTCGGAGAGCAATGGCACTCGTGGTATCTAAGGGCGAATCCAGCATATTATCGGACGATTCCGATGATGGCGGAGTGGGCAGTTGAGTGGTGATTGCAGGGCGGAAAGAAGCAGCATCGAAAGTTCGCTCTGGCGACGGGGAGAGTGGTGCTCTTGTGAAGTCCACGTAGCCCTCGTTCCACTTGACGTGCTTGGCGATATTCTGCTTGATGTCGCGCTGAATCTCGTTCTCCTTCTCTGCCTGAACATCCTCCAACAGCTGTAGGTCTTCTGCAGCTTGTGTACCAGCCTTGGGGGGCATGCGCAGTTGAGGCGCAGCCGGGCGTTGCACAGCTGGTGCTTCTACAGGCTTCTTCTTCGGCTGTTGCAGAGTCATCAGCATGTGAAGCAGACGGTCGCGGGACTGCATGGGGCTCACCTTCTGGTTGATGAGGTCCTCATCATCATCCTTGATGTTGAGCTTCCTCTTCATCTCCTTGACCTCCGATCTCTGCAAGAACACTTGGCGTTCGATGGCCAGCATCTCCTTCCTCGCTAGCTCGCGTTGGCGCACCAAAGCGACCATCTGTCGAGCATCTTCCAGCTCCTTCCTGAGTCTCCTCAGCTTATCGGCACTCTGCGCATCCCTACCACGGGTCTTGCGCGTCTGTCGCACCTCACGCCTACGGAAGCAGACATACGGGTCCGTATCATCGGTGTCTCGACCAGCCTCAACCTGCGATAATCGGTTAGCACTCTGGTGTTGCCAAACCTCATGACTGCCGTTAGCGAGGGAGACTCACCTTCGGTGTAGGTAGTAGGGGCTCGTTGCCGTTGCTGGTCCTCCTGGACTTCCAGTATTCATAGATGTCCTTGGCGAACCGCTTTACACTCTCCTCTACAGCTGGGTCCATCGCTTGTTGGAATTCTTCGAAGCTCATGAGGGGCGAGTTATCTACAAAGGCATATGGCTGCTCCTTTCGCGACGTGAGCTCGAAGAAGCTCATAACCTCTTCGAACTGGTCTTCGGTGCACCGACTACCCGCATCGCGTTTTTGGTTGAAGATCTTGAGGAAGACATCATCTTCCTCGTCCATGCAATACGGGGCTCCGCAACAGTCCTCTACCGTAGCAGAGAAGCGAATGTAGGTCGCAGGTTGCGAGAAGATAGGCGGGTAGAGCTCATCATAGCGCAGGTTACTGAGGACCGTCTCCGGCGTCGGAATATGGGCATCTTTTACTTTCCCCTGCGCAGCCGCGTTTATGGCGACCTGGAGATGGAATTCCTATACAAGAACAGGCGTTAGCAGGCGCTGTTGCGGTGTTTCTGCCGAGGTGCGAAATTTTCACGATGGGGTGAGGTCGGGATGATGTCACGTGATATGCACAGGGATGCTCGCAACGGTCGGGGATGAGGCATCACTTACCGATTCCTCGGCCTTTTCCACGCCGGTCTCGATCTGTTGTAGGGCATTTTGGATTTCATCGTCGATAAGATCTATGTCGTGCTCCCGGACTATGGGGATGGAGGCCTTGGAGGTGAGCTTTTTCGGGCGCGTCCTCCCCATTCCCCCGTACCTAGTCATACGAACTTTGGGGCGCGGAAAAGGGCAACGACCATGGGCGAGGGGGGCTAAAATTGGTATCAGGCGATAGGGCCGATCATGCGAAAGCGCGTAGACGTAGTTTCGTGATGAATTTCGATGGTGATGGGATGATATCGACGCGGGAAATCTCGTAGTATTGGCACTGACGGATGAGTTGACGTTGCAATGTCACCCGGCGGTGGCCTGTTTTGGCCCGGCGCACGGCCTCAGGGGTTCGCTTGCCTGTCCGTTTCCGGTTAGTGCGGGGCTGCCCGATATCAAATTGCCGGCTGGGGGAACCTCGTTGCTTGCAGTGATTGATATCAATCTATCTAACTATTGTTTCCCTCGTGATTCTTCATTCCCCTCCCCAGAGTTTCACTGTGTATTGAATTGGTGTGGGAAGCTTCCCTTTCCTCTCTCCTTTCTAAACTATTCTTTTCTCCACCTAGTCTGTGGTTCTTGCCGTTGCCGCTTCTACTTCTCTCCTTCCCTGTGATCGCCACATTCCGGTCCCCATCATGGATCATTCCAGCGAACCCAACAACGCGGCCCTTTACGATGCCCGGAGACGCAGGGGCTCCGTCGGAACTTCTCAGCTCTTCGAAAACATTGTGTCCGCCTCCAACTGTGGGTAGCGGTCGCGTCTGTGAACAATTATCAATCGGGGTTGTCCGGCCTTGCTGACTACATCATCGGAATCTGGCAGTCGATCGCGATGAAGTGGACCGTCTCCGCAAGCGCTTCATGAAGCTTGATAAGGTATTCACACCCCCCTTTCTCCACGTTATACCTTATTTTACCCTACCCTGTTCTATAGCTAATCATAATGCCGATGTATACAGGACAGCTCCGGCACCATCGACCGCGATGAATTCCTCTCCCTTCCTCAAGTCTCCTCCAACCCGCTCGCCACGAGGTATTCCCCTCCCTTGCCACCCTATACCACCTTTACAACAACAACACCACACCAAATATGGAATATATGGGGATCATGATAAATAACCAAAATGAAATAGAATGATTGCCATCTTCGACGAAGACGGCGGCGGCGACGTCGACTTCCAAGAATTCGTCTCCGGGTTATCAGCCTTCAGCTCCAAGGGCAACAAAGAAGAGAAGCTGCGCTTCGCATTTAAAGTATACGATATCGATCGCGACGGGTACATTTCCAATGGCGAATTGTTCATCGTGCTGAAGATGATGGTCGGAAATAATCTCAAGGATGTGCAGCTGCAGCAGATCGTTGATAAGACGATCATGGAGGCTGATAAGGATGGTGATGGCAAGATTAGCTTCGAGGAGTTTACGGATATGGTCGAGAATACGGATGTTAGTTTGAGTATGACGTTGAGTATGTTCCCTGATACCGTTTATACTCTTGTTTGGGGATGTGAGGGTTGCTGACTGTTTTGTAGACCAGATCTGAGGGGGAGTTGAGTTGTGGATGAAGGTTTATCTACTTGCTGGGTATGGTAGATAGGTTGGGTTGATGGTGGATTGGGGTAGGAGGAGGGTTATACTTTCTTACTTATTATCTTATGATTATGATGACAGCCATGACGAAACTGTAGTTTACTTTCCTTCTTCTTTTGCTTCAGGGTCGGATTCGCTATTAGTCTATATTGTTTTAGGTACATATTGTACGGATTACTATGCGTGCTATGCAGTAGTTGTAGTTGAGAGTTGCGAAGCATATGAGGATCTTGGAAGATTTATTTCATCATCAGCGGGAGCAGCAGTAGTAACCATTCGCAGATATGAGGATTTTCACTACAAGCATATACGGTTATATCGAGTCGTACACATGTGAAGATAAAGTTCAGCCTCGCAAACCTACAGCCTTGCGGCTGACAACGTTATTATGATGATTGTTTACATGACGATATCAAGTAAATAAAGTACCATTTAGGTAACATGTAAACTAGTACATCAACTTAAATCATGGCTTCTCAAGACCAGCAATACTCCATGTTCATGTTACCTGGGGGAACTAAGTCCGTAGTAACCACTTAGATAATTCCCTTGCTATCGGGTACTTTCCTTTAAGCGTGTGACTGATTGATCTGATTGGTTCATATATTTAGCACATCACTACTACTCCGCATCGCTACAATATACACTCTATATCATTGATTCCTTCGCATCACATCAGAAAATGTCTAGTTTACCTGGCATAAGAGACAGTATGACCAAGTAATATCTCTCGAGACCATGTTCAAAAGCAAACCATGCCGAAAGTCTCAATCGATTCGGCTTGATCCTCCAGATCGGTACGGTATCGTGGAGAGAATCGTTTGTCATATATACCCTTTAGGTATATCTTACTCTGATCCTTCGATAATTGATGGATGCGTGCTTGCCTTACCGTGAGCACATCCCCTAACCCAATGAACTAGTCGAGGCGAGTATATGGAGCTGCTCTTAAGATGGGCCCATAATAGTGAGCAACAGACACCATGTCTGGACTGTAATACTAACCCAGCTCACCCATTCCCCCTCAATCGTTGAGGAAAGGGTACTCCATCCACCCCCGAGCCGTCTTTCGTTCCTCCGGCAACCAAGTGAGCATCTGTTTGATGAAAGATAGGAAAGCTTCCTTGTCGCTCGCTTCTAGAGATGGGACTGCATCTTCAAGTTTTCGCGCGGGTATCAAATCGTTGTAGAGGAAGTTGCCTACCGTAATATGGATTAGGGTCAGAGATACACGCATATATGCCGTTGAAAAAAAATAATATAAAAATAAAGGAAAGGGTATCATTACCTTCTTCATCAAAAAAAGGCCCACCAAAGTATTCCCTTTTGTTCTTGAATATCTTACCCCTTTTATCAGTGTTAGCTGGTGACCACTCAACCTGTGCCATGGACTCCGACATCACAAGCAATTTCTTAGGCGTAGGCGGGGGCCCAAGCAGGGCTATCATCTGCGCTAGATGTGCTTCTGGGAGGTAAGTTCCCTCCGCATCCTGTACCTGGGTGAACAACTCTGTGCCTTCGAGTATATTCCATATCTGTTGTTGTAGAACGTGAGTACTTTATGATCACCACGTACTTTTTGAATGCATGTATGTCTTACCATAACACCCAGATTCCATATATCGGCACTATAGCTCCACCCACATCCCAGAATGACCTCTGGTGCGCGGTAATAGTTAGGTTGTATAGCACGAGTACCCAGTTGATCGGCAAGAACCTCCCCGGGTTTCGCAGGACAGTAGTGTTTGGGCCTGAAGCCAGGACTGAGCTCCTCGTCCACAAGTTCGTGTTGGGGAATGGAAGTTATAGTTGAGAGTGAACGTGAGAGCTGGAGAGGTTTGGCGCGAAGGAAGGATATGCGCTTCATTGCACGACTTATGGACTGCATCTCATAAAAGCAGAAGCACCTTGCAGCCAAGGCTAGGTGCAGAGTGAGTAGCAAGGAGAAGAGCCGAACAGATACGCTGCAACGTAAAATAACAAGAACAATTGGTTAACTACAAGGTACGTGAATCTGATGGCTTATACATAGGGATCCCTTGTGTCCTATCAGAGGCTTCAAACTCCGGGTGCCAAAAGTGAGTGGGGATATAATTATGTGGACGAAGTGGGACGACATGCCGTAGCTACCAAATTAACCCAGTAATCACACTTGTTACTATTGAGACACAGCGATATTTGCCAATTGATTCAGAGCTAGAACCCAAAGAATAATCGAAAAAAATAGATAAATCCAACTCTTTTCTCTGCCTAACATTAGATTACATGTTCTCATTATCATGAGCGGTCACATAAGCGAGTCCATCACCCTTCGGCTGACTATCTATCTCACTCGTAACCCTAATTCATCCCCTCATCGACCTCAAGGATCACGTCGCAACACCCCATGACAACCCCGCGTGAAACCCCCAGCGTTGAACTGCACTCTATTATTATCAAAGCATCTGGGTCCCGTCAGAATTGGCGTATTGAATTTAGCCACCCATTCATTCCCATCAGAGTCCGGTTGATCCAAATACTGAAAGTCCCATCCCGTAAGTCCGTGTCCCACGCAGCTTATAATAGCCGGCTTCAGCGTATCCTGACCCGCATCCCAAGTTGCCCATCCTCTGCCCCTCATATCATACCTCTGGTACCAAAACTTATAAGTGCTATCGCAAAACCCCCCAACTTCTCTCGTCGGCGGCCAAGGTCTCTTGAACGAGTTCGCAATGTTAACTTCATACGTATAGCTCCCGCGAGTCCAGCGACCCCCGAATTTCCAGTTCATCGGATTTTTCGGATCATTGCCATCGCAGGAGTTGATGATACGTTCGAAGGACTCCATGCAGTGGCCTTGGTCGAAGTGAGTGGCGCCGTCGCTGAGTTGGATGCTGAAGCTGTGCGTTTCTGGGGTGAGTTGCTGGAACCAGCGCTCGTCTTTCCAATTTGCTGTTTTCTTCGGGGGTTTTACTTCCTTGCAGTAGGTCTTGTAGTTCTTGTTTAGGAGGTCCGCGCTTGCGTAGTCCTTTCGGCCGTCGTTTTGCCAGCATCGGAACTCCTCAAAACCGCGCGAGCAGATGGGGTTTTTCTTGCCTAGGAAATCAGCCCGTGCGGCATATATGCCATCTAGCACGAAGGAGGCAATGGTCTTGTGACCGAGCTCGTTTGGGTGGAAGTATTTGCCCCAGCGGTCGGGGAGCCCGAATCCTATACCTTTGTCACCCGGGCAGCCTGGGGGTAAGGTTAGGCCGGTGGGATTCAGCTTGTAAAGGGCAGCTGCAGCCGGGTTGGGAGAGCGGTAGAGGATAGAGTCGTAGAAAGATGAAAGGGTGTCATTAGTATCGGCGGAGGAGAAGGAGGTGTCGGTGATGTTGTCGCGCTTCGCTTTCAGTTCTGTGTGGCGTTCATAGGTGGTGTCTGGCTTGAAGAAATGCAAGTTCGGCTGCATGGGATCGGGATATTTGCCTGTTGATTCGGGCACGCAGTACTGTCCTTTGAGGCCGTCTTTCATGAAGTCATTCCAATCTGCAGTACGGATATGCACTCTTGGGAAATACTTTCCCTTATCCATGACGAAATCATCGATGGTTTTCTTAATGACCTTGTTTGTGTCAGTAACCAGTTGATTGAGTTTCTCGCGACGCTCGCGAGTCAAAGGCAAAGCATTGAACGGAGCCAGACCAGGGAAGGCCCAGTCCTGATTCTTCTCGCAGTCATCAGTTTCCGTGTTAAAGAATTGGCCGTAGAGAGCGTAGACAATGATGCCAAAAGCATTCACCTTGCTCACAGCGACTTCGAGGATCCTGCGAACGTTGTACCCCAGGATAAACTTGATGTTATCTTGAGCCAACTCAATGACCTTCTGACACTCCTCTTCGCTATTAAAAGGGAGAAAGATGCAGGTGGTGATGATATCGGACTGGCCAGGTAGTCAGTTAGAGGCTCACTATAGTGAGACGACGGAGAGGCTAGCATACCAAGCACAAGTCGTTTCCTCCACCGGTCAGGACTATGAGGTCGTGGAATTTATCAAGGTCCTGGGCCTGGCTGTAGATGTCGCTAGTACGAGCGCCACTGCATGCCGTGTATGTGAAATTGGTCACTTGTGGACCCAACACATGCTTCAGAAGTGCTACATACGATTTGTCGTAGCGGGAGCATTTGGTGTCTTCTTTTTTGTCGCTCCACAGATCACCGGCACCAATGCCTGCTGTGTAGCTGTCGCCAATGGCTGCCCATTTGCGAACGAAGGTGAGGTCTGTGATGGGTAGATCAGATGAGGGAGGATCATGTGGAGGAGTATTAATGTCAGGACTGCCAGTGACAAGAATCACTAGCAGAAATATGAGCCAAAACATCCTGGAACGGACTGCACGAAGATGAGCTGGGGGATGGGATGGAAGAGAACAGGAGGATGGAGGAAAAGATTTGGATGAGGAGATTTCCGAGTTTATATCGAGGGAGCATGAGCCAGGAACTAGACCTATCATCTCAAATCATTCAGGCATATTCACGAGCGCACGAGCACACAAGCACGATTCACGAGCATGATCCACCTTGACAAATGTCCATAATAATCCTTCATGACAGTGAAAATTCCTTCTCTGTTACCGTGAAGTTCAATGAGAAGTGAAAGACATGCAGAATATGAAGTTCCCGTGAACACACATCGGCCCGAACTCAGGTCAATCACTGTTCCTTTCCTTCATAAAAAGATGGACATCGAATCGATATCCCATCTTCGAAACCACTCTGCTACCAACCTTGTCGAACCACCATTGTCAACATGTCAGTGTTTCCGGCATTTCTGCTCTGCCTGTTCGGTTGGCAACTGACTTCTAGCGCTGTCTTCGCGCACAATCTCGCCTGGGGAGCTCTTCCGTCGAACCTTGACCCTGTCTATCCTTTCCAACTCCTTCACACTTCCTCGACCAGTGATGATGGGTACAAGTGTGCCAAGGATAAAGGATGTAAAATAGGATGCTGTGGGCCCATGTGAGTCACCTACCATATAAACTTTGTATTCGATCTGAACATTACTGACCACTGGAATAGTGACTCCACTGGTTCGGGTTTTTGTGGTTTTGGTCCCGAATTCTGCGGCAAAAATTGCACCTCGAACTGTGATCGCAAGAGCGAATGCGATCCTGGTTGGGGTAAAGAATGGTCTCAAGCGTCCACTTGTCCGCTAAATGTTTGTTGTAGCAAGTTCGGCTTCTGCGGTGGGTTCCCACTCTTCATCGTTCATCTCAACCTCACCTAATTATCTGCTACAGGAACCACCAAGGACTTCTGTGGCGATGCCACCGTCGTGTCTCCCCAATGCGGCGGCACCAGTGCCCAAAAGCGTACAGTCGGGTATTACGAGGGGTGGAACTTGGAACGCCCATGTGGTAGTGAGTTGCTCGAGACTACTCCTTCAACTCATCACTAACACAGCTTCGTACAGAAATGGGACCAGCCGATATCCCTCTCGGCTTCTACACACACATCAACTACGCATTCGCTTCAATCGACCCTCAGTCATTCCGCATCACTGCCATGGACAATCTCACTGCGTCATTGTACCAGGGCGTGACGGCACTCAAGCGCCAACAGAGCAATCTCGAGGTGTGGATTGCCATTGGGGGATGGGCATTCAATGACCCGGGTCCGACTCGAACCACTTTCTCTGATCTGGCCGCTTCCGAGGCCGCTCAGGACACGTTCTTCGGATCCCTGATTAGCTTTATGCAGAATAATCGGTTTGATGGCGTTGATATTGACTGGGAATACCCTGTGACTGACGAACGGGGCGGGAAACCCGAGGATTATGTCAATTTTGTGACTTTGGTGAAGAGACTGAGGGAACGGTTGAACCAGACAGGAAGGAAGTATGGAATTTCCATCACTCTGGTAAGATTGTCTCTCCTCCTGATAAGCATGATGTTAACGTCCTGCAGCCGACGTCCTACTGGTACCTGAGGGGATTCGATATTGTCAATCTCGAGCCGCATGTGGATTTCCTTAACGTCATGTCTTATGACATTCGTAAGTGGGCCACGATTCTGGATCAAATTAGCCTCACTGACCGATTTACAGACGGCACATGGGACTCCACGAATAAGCAGCTTGGACCGTACGCCTTCGCACACACCAATCTAACGGAGATTAACAGCGCCCTAGAGCTTCTCTGGCGCAACAATATCAATCCGGAGAGAGTTAACCTTGGACTAGGCTTCTATGGCCGCAGCTTCACGATGAAGGATCCCAAGTGCAAGAAGCCTGGCTGTGAGTTCTCTGGAGGGGCGCGAGCAGGCGAATGTACCGGCACACCGGGAGTGCTGGCCACGTATGAGGTCAACAAGATCATTCAGAAGGGCGGGACCGACCTTGTACTCGACAAAGACGCGGCGGTTACCATCGTAACCTGGGACAAGGATCAATGGGTTTCCATAGATAACCAAGAGACACTACGGATGAAAATGGACTATGCTAATAAGCGGTGCCTTGGAGGGACCATGGTCTGGGCAATTGATTTGGATGATGGAACTATGATCGACGCTCTAGGGGCTGCTATGGGAAAGAACAAATCAAGGATTTTCCCTGCTCGGCGCAATCCTATTCCTGAAGCTGGGAGAAGAGATGTTGATGACGTTCTGGGGTGGAAGAAGTGGTGGAAGGAGCATAGGAATGAACTGTGAAGGATGGCTAGAATTCGAGGGGTGTATGCATGTTATGGGAGGATTT